TCTCTCTCTCTCTCACTCTCCTCTCACTCTCACTCTTCTCTCTCTCTCTCTCTCTCTCTCTCTCTCTCTCTCTCTTCTCTCTCTCTATCTCTCTCTCTCTCTCTCTCTCTCTCTCTCTCTCTCTCTCTGATTCATTCACTCGCTCACTCACTCACTCACTCACTTACATGCACACCAATACACCCCAAGACTCATTTGTAGGTCATGATTACAGAAGTTAATAATTATTAACATTGATCTTTCCAGTGGAGCACGTTACGTCTAGAGTTGCTCTAGGTGTCTTACGTTAGTGTATGTTTGGGTCTGATCAGCAACTCAAGCGGCTGACGAGATACATACCAGCGTTGTCAACCGCCTCTGCCTTAAATCACGGCTGCGCACCTCTTGCCGCCACCAACGCCTGACACTGGCAGGGTCCCCGGATCGGGACCTCCGGACAGGGATGCCATGTTCAGTGAGGCTTCCAGATTAGCCACATTTATAAAGTGGCCTCACATGAACTATAAGTAAGTGTTGATTCCACTAAAAAAAGTAATAATAATAATTAATGATAATAATAATAATAATAATGATAATGATAATAATCATTATAATGATAATAATGATAATAATGTTTAGTTACTTGAAAATAGATTGGAAATCTTTAGCAGTCTCCTTTTGAGATGATGTGGATGGGAAGACATGACAGATTATGTTTTTTCTATCCTATCTAAGGTATATAATAAAGACTGCTTTGTGTAACTGAGGGGGTCTGGTTTACCTTACACTAATATATAATGACGTAAATGACTTAATTTGTCTAACTCGGTTCATGTTCGTGCAGATGGGCTTTGCCGGAACAGATGGCACAGCTGGCTTCTACCACCAACCCATTGCAACAGATGATGACCGTGCTATGTGCTTCATCTGCAGTGTTTGTCTGGTGTATTGGGAGCCAACTGAATATGAACCCATGGTTAGTATATTTGGTGATATGATTATGTATATCTTTTGTTTTTGTCTGCAAGTACTGTTTTTTTATGTAGTAATTTGTTCTTTTTAATGATATACAGTACTGGTGGTGATGGAAGTGGGGAAATGGGAAAAACCAAAGTCGAAGAATTTCCCCAGCCCGCAGTCACACACCAAATTACCATATCAGATATTAGCTGACGTTAGGACCTGGATTAGTGCCTTATTTTCACTGCCACACATTTTCACTTTATTTTCCACCCATTGTTGAGCCAAGAAAGCTCCTGAATGAAGTTCAGATTGCAGCTATATGTGCATTAGTGAATCAGAACAATTCTAAGAAAGAATTATCAGCAGACATAGGATTGTCACTTTGCAGTGTTCAGTGCTGGACCAGAAAATATTGCACAGCTGAATCCCTCAATTCTCCCACCTCCCCCACACAAACCAGTAGGAACTAGGCATGTTAACCCATTAGCGACGGGTGTCCCATATATGAAACACCCGAAAAAAATAAATATTGCCAGGCGTCCCCCCAGTGTGATGCTAATTGGGGCGCTCCGACACAGCAGTGGCCCATGGCCGGACAGACTCCGGGGAAGCTCCGCCCGCTGATTTTGTAGCCACCTGGAATATTTTATTTTTGGCTTCAAAATACCCTGGCGTGAATGGGTTAACTAGAGGGCTTTAAATATCAATTTTAGGCTGATAGAGGCTCAATCTAGCATCACAGGCCAGGAAATTAGGAAAAGGAACCTGCAGTTGCTTGCTGGAGTAGTAGAATGAACATTAAGAGTATATTTGAAAAAAAGTCTAAGGTACTGTAGTTGCAAGAGTATTCATAAATCATAGGTAACATGTGTTCAGAGCATTATAAGATTAGCTTTTGTATTGTAACACAAAGATTGGGGACTTAGTGAGTGACGGAAAGTGTTTTAGTCAGATGAGGCTAGCTTTGAGATGACTGACAACCAGAGAGGGAGAGTGTATTGCTTTCCGGGCATTGAACCCACTGACCCTTGCTACACATTACTCAAAGATGTCATTACACAGAGTTAAACACCTCAAATCGCTCATGGTTTGGGGTTGTTTTTTTATATTATGGGTTGGAATATTAGAGATTTTACTTGAGAACATTTGTATGTGCCATTGAAGCTATTTTGAACTGTCTGTCAAAGATTGAGGCTGTATTTCACATTCAGGATAGGGCACCGTGTCATACCACAAAATTAGTAGTGAACTGGTGTGAATTTTGTAGTATAAAATTGTTAAACCTTGACCAGGAGACTCTACATCAAGCACCATTTAAAGGACAAGGACACATCCATCCTGCATTTTCAAACCATCATTCAAGGCATATGAGACAATATCAAGCGTGAATATTTACAACACGTAGCTCATTCCCTTCCAAATGATGAAGAAAAGTCACAGATATGCTATCAGTATTAAATTTTAGTCAGTATCCCCTTTATTCCCATTTTTTATTACATTAATCATCTCCCTAGGTAAGACAGGTATTTGCAAGGTCAGCGCTTTCCACCACCGCTGTGACTGTATATACGGATGTTCCCTGCTACATGTTATGAATTCTGTGGTACATGTAACCTCCAGCTTAGTTTATAGTTTCTTAAAATGAAATCAGCTGTGTCACTTCTATCATGCCTCCTTCACAGGTCAGAACATGAGCGCCACTCACCAAAACTGCCCGTTCGTGAAGGGGGAATACACGCACAACGTCCCTCTGTCTGTAACTTATGCCACCAGCCCGGCCCTTAACCCACAGCGAGCGAGCAGAGGAAGTGGCTTTCATTAGCAACACCAATAGCCATCAGTTTATTGCCTCAGCCACCAGACACACGGCAGTATTGTGGTCTGGAACACAGCAAAGGAACTAAAGGTATTAGCTATTAAGAGCAGGAAAGAAGAAATCTGTGAAACTGATGTTTTATACTGATGATGATACTTTTTAATGTTGTGGAATGAGAGGTATTTGATCTTTCAACAAATTATTCTTTTATGTAGACGAAACTTGAAGTTCTCAACAATTCACTTATCGAGTGTTTTTTCCATTGCAGAAAGAAGTCAGTTTTTCCATTGATCCATCAGATTCGACAATATTAGATAAACATTTTTCGGACACAATTGGGTACACGGACGTGCCCCTCCAACCCCCAGCACCTCGAGAAGCCTGGCCTTGGGAGAGGAGGAGCAAAACGGGCCAGCCAATATTGAAAATGATCCCCCCTCCCACCCTGGTCCCACCCAGAGACGGATGCGCAGGGTTCCCTTGCAGTGGAGAATGATGATGCCGCTAATCTCCATTCTCCTCTGTCCACCGTCTCCACCCTCACAGGCCCCTCCCGCTCCCCCTGCCCCACCACCCCCACCTGCACCCCTTCGTCTCAGGTGGTAGATTTGCCTCTTGATGATATAGCTGTTGGTAAGTTTTCCTTCAAGGATGAGGTTGATGAAGACTATTTTGAGATACCCTTAACACACATATAAGGAAAATGTTTCAGCCAGTTTGACTTTAAAAATTCTTTTTCTTTCAGATGAACTGTTTGCTCCTCCGCGGCCATCACATGATGTTCGAGTGTCCTCCCTGTGTGTCCTGGCAGACCCTAATGAAGTGTCTCAGAGATACAAGGGTGCTGCAGTCAATTTGTCATCATCTGTGAGATCTTGCCTTGTGGTTGGTGTGGGCCTTAGACGTTATGAGTTATTTGGTACCTCCAGTAGCGACAGGCAGGAGACCTGTGATGTGGGCCTAGTGCAAGTGCTGAATAATGTGAATCAGGCGAGCCAAAGGAAGGCAGAGACTTTAGACATTATGAAGTTAGACTCCTCTAGAATAGGGTCTGTAACGGAAGAGGAAAATGACAATGACTGTATTGTGTGGAATCTGAGTCTGCCTCCTTGAGTGATCCTGCAGTTGTGTCTACCTCTGTGTCTGCCGGCCAACAGAACTTTGTGCCGTATCTGTTAGTGTACGACCTCAATGTCATGTGCCGCAGACAGCCACCAGTAATAAAGTGGCGGCGAAACCTGTCATTCAGGGCCCTTACAAAAAGTCAACTGTTGAAAGTTGGAACATTTGGGCAGTCCAATATCTCGTACTCGAAAAGCAAACAGCTATGGTCAGATCCCTTAGCAAACGATATTGAAATGTTCTTTGCCCACCAAATGTGTTTGTGAAAAACAAGGGCACCTCCCAAGTGAGCTCGACCTCCACATCTAAGTCAAAAGCCAAAGATAGTCAGGTACCAGCTGAGCCCGAATCAAAGAATGACCTGAAAAAGGAACCCAAATGCATCCAGTGTATTCCCCTACCCCATAAATTAAACAGTGTAAAGTTGCGCCTTACAGTGGACCACATTGTGCCGACCACATGCGGGGAGCACATCATCGTGACCCTAAGCAGAAGTGACAACTCAGGCACCAGTGCCAGCTCAGGGAGCATGACTGCTTCTGACAGCAATGATGGGGCGGTAGGGGGGTCGCGGGAAGTGTTCGGGGCTGTGATCATCTACAAGGTCTGCCGGGGGGTGATGTGGTCACCCTGCAGGAGGAGCCCATCAACACCAAGCTCCTGACCTCGTTGGAGACGGTGCCCAAGAAATTGTTGGTTCTTCCTCCTGAGGTTGGTGGTTTTCTTTTATTCTGTTGTGGGAGGCTGGGCAGCTTTTAGTATTAAGTGCAGATTTTTTGCATAAGATTTTGGTACACCAGTTTACTGATACACTCATCTTACTGTTGTTATTTCTATTATTATTATTATTATTATTATTATTATTATTATTATTATTATTATTATTATGATATTCTGCTGTTAATGATGATTATTTATTGTGATTAGACTAGCTTAATTTTATTATTATTATTATTATGGATGTTTATATGATGATGTATGTACATGTATATTTTTTTATTGTTGTTGTTATTGTTATTTATTATTATTATCATCATTATTATTATTTTGTGGTTTTCATTATTTTATTATTATTGTTATTGTCAGTGTTGCTGTTATCATATCTTTATTTTTTAATTAATTTTATTGATATCATTAGTGTTATTATTATTCTTAGTCTTTCATTATTATTATTTTTATTATTGTTGTTTTTGTTGTTGTTGCTTTTGATTTTGTCATTGTTGTTGTTTTTTTTTCATTGTTATTATTGATGTTATTACTGTTATTATTCATTTCACTTTTGAAAAATGTTTTGTTATTACTTTAATTTAGTAATAGTAGTAGTAGTAGTAGTATAGTTATTATAGTTATTATGTTGTTTTAATAATGATGATTATTTTATTATTATTTTATGTAAATTATTGTAATAATAGTAATAATTAGAATTATCATCATAATTATTAGGCTATTGTTGTTGTGATTATGATTATTATTTTTATTATTGATATTGATATTATTTTATTATTGATATTAATATTATTTTTATTATTGATATTAATATTATTTTTATTATTGTTATTTTCTTATTATTACTTTCGTTTTTATTGTTGCTGTTGTTGTTATCATTATTATTATTATTATTATTATTATTATTGTTATTGTTTTTATTTGTGTTGTTATTATTGTTTATTGTTATTTTATTACTATTTTTATCTTCATTACTATTTGTTATCATTATCAATATTATTATTATCATGATTTAATAGATTTATTTATATACTCTATTATTGCTGCTGTTAATATCATCATTATTATTCTGACTAACATTACTATTATTATTATTATCATCATCATCATTGTTATTGTTATTTCTGGTATTCTTATTATTATCGATACTATCGATAGTATAGATATTATTATTATTATTGATATCGTTGATTATTATTATTTATGTTATTGTTTAATTTTTGTTATTATTTTTGTTGTCATTGTTGTTGTGTTTTGTTAATATTGCTATTGTAATAATGATAAAATAGTGATAAGGATAATAGTAAAAGTAATGATAATCATATTGATAATAACAATAATAATAATAATAGTATTACTACTTCTTCTACCAATTATAATGATATTGAGAATAGTAATGATAATGATGGTGATAATAATAATGATAATGATAATGATGATAACAATTATAATAATGATAATAATGGTTATGAGGAAAGTAATAATAATGATGATAATGATAATAACAATCATAATAATAGTAATTATAATAATGATAATAATAAAATAGATTGTTATTATTGTTATTAGTAATAGTAAGGATAATGATAATGATGTTAATAGTGATGATAGTAATTATCACCATAATTATAATTATTACTTTGTTTTCATCCTTATTCTTATTGTTGCCTTTGTCATCATTATCTTATTATTATCATTATTGTTGTTGCTGCTGCTGTTTTTCTTCTTGTTATGATTATGAACATTTTATTGTTTTCTTATCAATTTCAAGTATCCTTAATTCTTTTTATTATTATTTTTGTGCTTGTGAAGAGAATCATTTGATAATCAAAATAATCCTTGTGCTTTCCCTTGATATTTCCATAATTTGAGGGCTGTCTACTACCCTCTTTTTCTCCCTTTCACCTCCCTTCCTTTCTTCCTCTCTCTCTTTTTCCATGTTCTTGCTCAGTAGTCCTTTATTTTTATCTTTGTTTTTTTTTTTTGTGTGTGTGTGTTTCTTTTCTTTCTGATGCTTCTCTTTTGTCCTTTCTCTTTCCCTTCTACTTTTTTTTCTTCACATCGTTGCATCTCCTTTTACTTGAAGCGGAGAGAATGATTGACTCTGACATTATTTTTTCAGTTGGTCACTTTTGTACTTATAGGAAAATAATTGAGTTGATAGACCTGTATGCATTTTGATTTAGAGAGAGAGAGATGAGTGAGTGAGTGGTGAGTGAGTGAGTGAGTGAGTGAGTGTGTGTGTGAGTGTGTGTGTGTGTGCTTAATGGCTAATGGCTCTGTCATGCTCACAGTATGGTGACAACGAAAGCAGCCTGTCGGGCATGGCTGCCTGCATCACTGTTGACGGCTCACTGAGACTGCTGTCCCTCTCCAACCTCGAGTTCCTCACCACCTTGCGCCCTCCCCTGGCCGCCGTACATACAACAACGCTGTGTATTGCAATAGTGGAGTTTTGGGAAGGCAATTTATATCTGGATGTTTTATTTTTATTTTTTCCCCCCTCTCCATTTAGATTTATTTCCTGCCCTTCTTTTCTAATGAAATTCTGATTTTCCCAGAGTAGTTTCATAAAGGTCTGTGGATTGCTTTGTCAGTTTTATCCGGAAGTAATCGACAAGGTCAGTATCGGTTGTGTGTATATATATATATATTTTTTTAATATATTCAAAAGACTTGGCTGTATATTATTTATCTTTCAGAGGGATGATAGGATGCAAATTAAGGGCTTAACCATTCCATTGCAATTTTTGCTGTGATTCCTTAAGCATTTTATCAAAATGAAGAATTCAGCCCCTTTTCAATACTAATTCCTTAACATATTTTGCACAGAGGGAAGAAAACAGGTCCTCTATTTAAGACTGAAATCATGTCTAATTTTTCAATCACTGTTTTAGGTTTAGAAAGACTTTGTGTCAGCTGTGACGATGGCAGAGTAAACCTAGTACAACTTCGGAGAGGGACGGAACTGGGCAAGGAAACAGACAGCACCTCCTCGGCCTCCGCACTAGCCAGCTCCACACCTTCAAACAACGCCCCGGCTCTCACACGGGAACTGAACTTATGCGTAAGTCTCTCAGCATTTGGTATCCAGTTAGCCTACTAATAACGTGTCCCACATATGAGACACATGAAAAAATAAACATTGCCAGGCGTCCTGCCAGTGTGACGCTGTATGGAGGCTTGCGCTCTGACACAGCAGTGGCCAAAGTCCAGGCCAGTCCCATGCGCCGATTTTCTAGCGGCCTGGAATCTTTTATTTTCGGTTTCAAAATATACCGGCGTTAGTGGGTTTAAAGGGATGTATCTCATTTTATAATGATTATTTTGATCATGTTGTCTAGATTGGCTCAACAAATGACTTGCAGATCCATCTTTCAGCCATAGACTATTAGGAAGGTCAGTTTTGCTGAACTGACCTCAAACATAATTTTACTAATTTTGTGCTGGGTTTGTTTGTTTGATTATAGCTGGTGAGCTCCTTGTGAATCAGGGAATATCTGAGGAAGTATTGGATAAGTGTGTGGAGCTTATTCAGTTCCAGACAGGGTGTCCCAGGTGAGTAGATTGGTTATTGTTATTACCCTTTTCAATGGAGAAGACTAGAATATTTCTGCTCAAAAGAATTTCAGAGATGTCATAGGGAAAAAAAATGAATGGTGATTGATTATCCCATGAATTGTAGACTTTTTTATGGGCTGAAAATCTTTATCCTATGACAGATTTTGTGGCAACTGTACCTCCTTGTTGGTCTGAGATCATCCAAGCTCAGAAGCAGAGACGAAACCCCAGCACTTACAGCAGCATGCGGAAGACATGGATACAACTCGTACTTGGCGACTGGAATCAGATAGGTGAGTTGCTTAGATTATCCTCATGTCTGGTGGGAAATGAGGTTAATGTTCTTTTCAATTGCATATAAGAGATGCACATTTCATGCATGTAGAGTGATGTTTTTGAATATATTCCAGACTCTATACCTTTAGAAAAAGTGTAATTTCCTGATCTATTAGTGACATGCCTTGTATAGAAAAGAGAACTTAAAAAACATTTCTTTCCCTAAAGCTCAACATGGGACGAGCATCTATTTGAGCTGCTTCTGCCGGCTGGGGCAGGTGGCACAGGTGGTGTTCAGGTGGGACACATTGATCTCAAGCTGAATTTTATCCCTGGACCAACCTAACCCACTCCCAGTTCTTCAGGTAAGCATTTATTGTTTATTAATTTATTTATATTAATTTTAGATTTTTTTGTTTGTCTTAATG